TTGGGAACGGTTGATGTGACTCCTTTCATTAAAAAATGCAAAATGTCTTGGATCCCTTTCATGCAAGAAAAATATACTAAACCAAATAGTGACAAGGAGCTGTCTGAGGCAGAGGTTGGTATAACCCACGAGATCAGAACTGTATGCTGAACTCTTTCTTTCCAAAGCAGGTCTTTGCTTTTCTTTTGCATTTTGAGCTTTCGTGTAATTCAATTTTTGTACCTTTCTGAAGTCTTTGATGGGCAGGGTATCTGACATCTCAGAAGGTGACAGTAAAATTATTCACTGGCAGTCGTATGCTGCTGTGTGTTGTAATGCACCCATGAGGTGTACTTTAGTAGTAATCAATGCGGTAAATGTCAGCCACCTTAATCTAGAGAAAATTACATTTTGAAAATAAAGGATTGCTTCTGCTCTGTTCTCCTGCAAAATGAGATATTAGTTTCCCTATGCTGCAGGTAAGGCTAACCCTTGATAGTCACATCAGTTTAAGTATGGAAAACAAATTAAAGAGCACTTGGTTTTGATGTTAAAATCTATGAGCTATTTGTGGAGTGTGACAGCTATAAATGATGCAAAACAACATCTCACCTTTAGCAAGTGCTAAAAATCAATATCTTGAATTGTTTTTGGAAGAAATTAGAAAAACGATGTCACTGAACTGTCAGAAATAGTGAAATGTTCTAGCTGATGCATTCTTGTCAAGGAAAGAAATGTGTTTAATACTAAGAGGTGCCAACCCACACCTGCAAGTGGAAGGAGGTGTGGACAAAGCTGTAGTAGAGGCAGGCCCAGAAGCACCACTTCTTAGCCTTTTTCTTTCCCTCTCAAGAGGGGAAAAAATACTTTCCAGAAAGTATTCTCCAACAAGTTGTCTGAATACAAAGGTTGGTGTCAGACTGGTGGGCCTCCTAAAATGGCGTATATGGCAGTATGCCGTTCCTTTATTTGACTGGGACTTAGACAAAGTCTTAAGGGAGGTCATGGCTCTGAGAGCACAGGCCTTCCCACACGCAAAGCAAATCTTCCTGGAAATGGAATGAAATGTTTGTCACCCTATTGTGAAAATGGCCACTACTTACAGGCATGTTTGATGGGGGAAAAGTGAAGTACATTTAAAAAAAAAAAAAAAAAAAAAAAAAGATCCTTGCAGAATATCAGTGTTCTGGGGTAGGTGTGACTAGAAGGTATCTTAATAACTCCACTACCATTATTGAAGTGGAGCTAATTCTGCAGTCTGTAGGTTTTATGACTTGATTCTTCTACATTTGCACAGTGCTGTGATTTCAACTGTATATTGAAATTCAGATTTTGAAGCAAAGCTAATGCGTATAAAGATATCGGAAACTAAACAGGGCAAAGCTGTAGTAGGTACAGTAAGGGAGGAGGGGCCTTGATTTCCAGAGAGGAAGCAGGAGGTATTTTGTGCTGATAAACTAGCTTTTCCATTGAGATGTTTAAGAACATTTTGTTGTTGGTACATTGCCCCAGGATTTCTGCTGCTCGTACAATATCTCAGAAAAAGTCTGTTTCTTGAGACTATGGGCTTGAAGGATGTTCCCAGGAGTACAGAGGAGCTCTTTGTACTTTGCTCTTGAGATAGATGCTGTGGGATTTTATCCATTTAGTCTTTTGGCAGTATAAAGGGATGTAGAGAATATTCAGTAGTTGCTCAGAAGCCATTGTCATTGAAGATCATGTAGAGAAAAGTCTTCTCACAGAACAGGATTGATTTGGTTTCCTTTACAGACTTCTTACCTCTTGATAATCTCAGTCTCCACTTTGGTTTCAAAAGCTTCCTTTCTGTGCTTTTTAGATCATTTGATTCAAATTGTTAACTTCTAATACAGTTCAGTTGTTCTCTAGTTTACTTAAATGCATCTTGAGCCCCAAACTTCATGGGATAAATAAAATGTTTTGTTTCACAGAAGAAAAATGCAGTCCTCTGACTTGTGTCATATTGTTGTGAGCTTGTCTTGCAGTTTTGTCTAGGTTCCTGTCAGGGAAGTTTATCTGGTATCTGCTTTTCCTGAGTTTAGTTATTATTGATCACAAGAGATGAATGCCTCTCTAACTGCTTCTTAGCCCCACCTGTACCCTGCTCCTTGATAACCTGTTTTAACCTCTTGTAGCACTTCTGTGGTTGGAAGAAACAGTTATTGCCTTTGCCTTGCTGTTTGAAGCCAGCATGGCTAGCTTTGAACACTTTCTATGGGGTTGTGCCTGTTACAGCTGTGATAAAGAAAAGCCCAGAGGAGCAGGCATGGTTCTGAACCTGAAGAAGGTCAACAAGTTTGAAGTAGTAATTTTGAACAGAGACTCTGCCTGCAAGAGTTTGGGAGGTGGCAGTTTATAGATTTGAGGGGATTGCATTTAAACTTGACCTGGAAAAAAAAAATGTGGGGGTTGCTAATGTTATGGTTCCTTGTGCGATGAAGTCCTGGTTTGGGTTGTTATGATAGTGACTTTCAGTTATACAAGAAATGAAGTTACACGGCTTGTTTACTCCAGCCAGTGCTCCCTAGAGGTTTTAAAATTCAGTAACCAGCAGGGGGAATGACTTGAGTATATCTCAAATTTGGCTTTGTCTGCTTCTGTGTTACCTTACTTGATTGTTCCATTCCCATGAGTTGCATGAAGTTAATGTCTGATGTCACATTCCCAAAGACCTTCCTGAGTGATTGCCATAGTCTTTAGTGATCAACAAGACTTATTTCAAGCTAGAGACAAATTTGCCTTTGTTGGGCCAAGTAGTCTAAGATAATTGCATGGACATGAGAGATGTTTCCAGGCTGCTGTGAACCAAAGAATACATGTGAAAGGTTAGGACACTTAGAGAGAAAACTGCCCGTGTAAAATGCAAAGAAAAGGAACACCCATGCACAAACTGTTAGTTATGGGTTGGCTTACGGTTTTTCTCACTTGAAGTGTGGGTCACTGAGGAGCCATGCAAGGAGTCTTGCATTCCTCCTTTGACAGTCTGAGAAGCTTCTGTAGTCTGCCTTTTTATCTGGAGTACAGAAAGCAATTCAGCAGGTAAGGAACAAAGTGACCATCGGAGGTGCGGTTGAAAAGCATGCTGATTTGGAGGTATACTCTGTGAGCAAAGCAGCCTCCCTTAATAAACATGAAAGAAAATGAAAAGCTGGATAGTGATTAAATGTCTGCTTCCCATATTCTTTTCAGAAAATAATGCTAAGCTTCCATGAAGAGCAAGAAGTATTGCCGGAATCATTTCTTGCCAACTTCCCATCATTGATAAAGATTGATATCCACAAAAAAGTGACAGATCCAAGCGTGGCCAAAAGTATGATGGCCTGCCTGCTCTCTTCTCTAAAGGCTAATGGTAAGCTTCTTGCACTCAAAATTCCTTGTTTCCTAATTACGTGTTGGTTCTAGGATGCAAGGCAAACTTGGGATGGTTATGTTAACATTACTGTATTTGCACGTCAGCCTGAGATATTCGATTCCTGCCATAGTTGCCACTCTAGATTTAGGTAAATAATTATAAAAGCTTTTGGGTAGCTAACTTCTGCTGCTGTCTTCAGTAAAAGGTAGCTTTTCACTTTAGCCATTATCCTGCAAGTTAGGAATAGGAAGAACTGAGGGAGCAATTGGGCAATGAGAGCACACATTTTTACATCTTGAACAACACACAAACGTTTATATTTCCCCTGCTGGCATTGGTAGTGATGCTTTTTCTTGTGTGTGGCAGCGTGCACTGGTGGGTAATTGCCAAAACCTTCAATATGGGGAAGTACTTGGCTGTCTGCCTTACTGCGCACCTGAGGTTCACAGTTCCTTTGCGTGATTTGGTGCCCTCTTCTAGTGCTATTTTCTGAGCCAACATCAGAGTTTCAGGATGCTTTTATGTGAAATAAAAGGTGTGCAGAGGGTTTGTTCAGACTGACAAGACGTCTGCAGAGTGCAGTCCCTTTAGGGGATGGTCAGCTATGTTGCCGTAAATCTGGTCTCTTTTGGGCACTATGCTCCATATCGAATTGGATCAGTGATTTCATTGGATTTAAATGTTAAAATAGGTGGGAACTCTAGTAATATTTGATGTCTGTGCTTTTTACAGTTACTCTTCTCCTACAGTGTTTTGTTTCTTTCTTCCTTCTTCAGGCTCCCGTGGGGCTTTTTGTGAAGTGAGACCGGATGATAAAAGAATCCTGGAATTTTACAGCAAGCTGGGTTGTTTTGAAATTGCTAAAATGGAAGGATTTCCAAAGGATGTTGTTATCCTTGGAAGAAGCCTGTGAAGTGCTTGACAGCAAACTGTTCCAGTACCTGTAGTCCCTTAACAGCTGGGCAGGTAGTGGTGGGGATCTTCATATGGTCTAGCTGCACAAAGCCAGCAATAAGCCAGCTTGGTAGAAGGGGCTATGCGAAAATCACCCATCACACATTCAGACTGTAATTTGTTGGAAGAGGATAATGCTGCTGAAAACACTGTTTTAACAAAGAGAAACCTTGTCCTCTCCTGGTCCTGTGTGAAGTGCCAAGGAATCTTGCATGGGCTATAGCTTCTCGGAGGAATCCCTCTCAATCGGTGCTGTGATTGACGACAGTTCTCTGCATTCACGTGTCAACAGAAAAGTGGTCTCTGGCAGAAGTGTATAAAGATGCAGGGGTTTTCTCTGTCGTAGAGCAGGATGTGCAACTGGAAGTTGCAGAAATGGGAGGGATTGCTTGTGGCAATCAGCAAATTTAAAGATAAGTAGCTACAGTTCTATTTTTGACTATCTTTATGCTTGTTGATAAAGCAATGACCCGTTGTCACTTCTAATGACCATTGGTTCGAGCTTTGTGCTTTGTTAGGGACAAATGTGCAGTGGTCTGTGGCAGAAGTCACTTAATGACAAACTTGTAAATTTCAGTGTATATAAACTTAGCCGTATGCTGACTAACTTTTTGTTTACCAGTTTTTGTAACTTTTTCTTTTGAAAAGTGAAATGGTATAGGTCCAAGATGGCACTTTTGAATAACCTAAAACCACAATGGAGAACGAATCTGTCCTCAGCACTGACCTTTCTTATTGTGCCTCGTATCCAGGGCTAGAAACTGACCATCTTGGGTAAGGGGAGCGGATCCCAAATGATCCTTCCTTCAGGCGGCAGTTTGTCACTGCTTGAGGAGGTTATCATCATCCTCCTGGGACTGAAACAGCAATTCACAGGGTGGTCTGCTGAACCCGTTAATTTTGGTAACGTTCGCATGGGATTGTGGATGAAAGACGGTGAGAGGGAGAGAGAGCTGGCCCGCAGCTGGGATTTGTCCTTGGAACAGTCACCACGTTTCAAAGCCTGTTCGTACTAGTTTGATTAAATCGGGGTCTTCAAGTCCTGCACATTTGTATCAAATAACTTTTCTATAAGAAATGCCACAATAAGCACATTTTTACACATTATTTAAATGGTTACCTACTTTTAAATGTTCCAAGAGTTTAATGTTTTTACCCAGGACTGACATGTTTGGCTATGGGATGGAATCAGCGTGGTTTGGGATCTGGTAGTGAGGTAGTCGCATCATTTATGAAATTGGTATTTCACAGAAGTCCCAGTGTCCCGATACGTAATTGGCCAACGGTATACACCTCGCAGTACCTTGCTGCTTTCACCTGCTGCCATCAGCTGTCTTTATCTTCCCTTTTAATTTTCCCGGTTTTTTTTTCAGTGGTGCGCAAAGGAAGTTCAGTTCCTTTTACAAGCCTCCAGCTACATAGAAGAAGTTAGGCAACCTATAATGAATGGCATTAAGACTGCAGTAGTGTTGTCTGCGACCTGTAAGGAGATGCTGTGTTTGGCCTTCTGGTGCAGTCACGTGCAGGATTTTTTTTTTCCTTTGCAGAATGTGAACAATTTTTTTAATGCGGTAGCGAAGTATTTAAGTTGAAACAAGTTCATTTCATTTTTGGAGAGAGGTACGGGGTTGTGCTATGGGATTTCATGTAAGTCAGAGCTGAATGCCACTAGTTTTTATACAGCTTTGAGTGCATGTTGAGTAGCTGATACCTTGGTTTATCAGGTGGGAGAGTTTTGTTTCTTCATGGATACCAGAGTCAACTTATTTTATCTGGATGCGTAACATTACAGCATAGGATGCTTGTGGCCTTATTTCTTGGCTTTTAAGGAGTTGCCACATTTTTTCTTCCTATGACTTTGTTATTATTATAGAAGTTAATTGTATAAGCCTATGGAATGTCAGGCCAATACCATCATTCTAGGATTGTAAAGTGATATGTTGACATATCTTTCATGGTTATGAATTTTCATTAAGGTTGGAATGCCACTTTCATTAATCTGTTTTAGATCAACAGTATCTGTAGCAGAAAAAAATGACCTGTAAAACTGTATTTGAAGACCATGCGAGAAATAGAATAAAAATTGAGAAGTGACTGTAAATAAGAAATGTGTATTTTGTGTATGAGGTTCCAGAACCAGAGGTGGCTCATCGGTGTGTTACATCTGCCGTACGTGTTGGATGCCCTCGGGATCAGCTGGCAGAGAAACTTGTTTTGGGGGTGGCAGCGCGTTGCGTGGTAGACACTTATATGTGCTGATGTTTTTCATAGGCGGGTATTCAGCAGCCCTTCAGAAGTACTCGCCCTAAATATTTTTGGGGTGGCAGTGACCCTTCTTGTTGGCCCTTCTGCGAGTAGCACTGGTTGAACTTCACCTGTTTTGTAAAAAACAGTTCTTTCAAAGGTGGTCTCCACTGTCTGACAAAGCCAGTGTGAGCTGTGTTGCAGCAGTGCTTGTTCGCCCTTTCTTACTCTTTTTTTTTTTTTTTTTTTTTTTCTTGCCAGCTGCTGGGTTTGGAGGTTGCTGAAACCCAGAAGAGCCTGCCAGCAGCAGCAGGGTGAGAGATGAAGTGACTTGAGGGTCACGCTGTGTGTAAGGGGCAAACATCGTTAGCTCCACATCTGGCCTCAGTTGTACGTCCACAAAACTTAACTTACGAAGCTGAACACCCGGGGTAGCTAAAGCAAGTGGCTTCCTGCTTAGAATGGGCAGGGAGCAGGGCAGGGAGCAGGGCAGCCGAGCAAAAGGGATGGGCCGGGGTATTAAAAGCAGCTTTTTCCTAAGGTCAGTTCACCAGAGTTCATCCACCTGCTGTAGAGGTGCGCTGGTTATGCAGTTCAAAAGCCATCTGTTGTGGAGAGCATGATAACATGCAAACTAAGCAGGGAAATGAGCAGTTAAAAACTTCCCTCCTAACCCAGTGAATGTGTGCTATGTTAAAACGATTGTTTTTCTTCACAAAATCATAATGTGTTGCATATAGGTGTCTTGCTTTTCTTGAAGCCTGTTTCACAAAGTTACGGCAGAAATGGCAATACGACTTGCCTATGTCAAATGCATCGCAGCCTGGGAGGCAGGTTCGAACTCCGATGTTGCGCCAGGAACTCTTCCTTTAAGGGAGCGGGAAGCAGAAATGGGCTCTCTTGCCTCCCTCGCTCCAGGGTGGTGGCTGCAGACGGGTCACGTAGGCAGCGTGCTGCCGCCAGCCAGATGGCTGCGGAGAGCAGCTCCCGCAGAAGCAAACGAGTGCGCTTGTATAACCATCGCTGAGTGAGCGCCTGCCTCTCTCTGGGACTGGGATCGGCTTTTCAAACCTCTTCAGTCGTGTTTTTCTTGAACTGACTCCAGCTGGAGCAGAGCAAATGGCTGGCCGGTGGAGATCTCCTCTGCAGTGGGAGCAGAGCCAGCTCCCGACCAAGAGCGTGGTGTGAGCTCATCATTAGCGGGGTTTGTTTTTAACTCGGCTGCCCCCCGCCTCCACCCCTGCAGCACGGACCAGACTGCTTCCCTTTCTGCTTTGAAAGGCCAGTCCCGCCCTCTGCTCCCTGCGGTAGATTTTGAAGTGGGATCTTGCCTTCTGTGCTCAAAGGCTCCTGCACCCCAGTCCCCGGTGTCAGATCACACTGCTCTCCTCCTCGCTCACGCTTAAAGGGATAGGGGTGAGCAGGTCCCTCCCCTTGTGCCCCTGCCTCCGTCCCTGTTACCCTCCTACCCCTCCGCTACCCCTCTTCATGCCCTTGGCCTTCTGCCTCTCCGGGCTCTACCGGTGCCCTCTATCTTCTCCCCAGTGTTTGGGAAGGCTGGTGCCCTGGAGCCGGGATGGTGCCCGTGAGAAGGGCAATAGGTGGACAACCGCTAGTAAAGGCCACTTTTCTGGTGTGACATTTCCACAGCTGGCAGCGTGGTCAGCAAATGCATTGTCCTGCACAACTGGCTTTGGCTGAAGGCCAGGATGGGCAGGAGACCCCACGGTGAAAGGATGCGGTGGTGTCTTTCATCTCCTGGGTGGCTTTTGGGCCGTTCACCATCCATGCAATGTAAGACCCTCTTCCCTTCCACTGTTCCCCCTCCTGCCTACCTGCAAGCAGGCGTGCGCACGCGTGTCCGGGGCTGCTCCCGCCCCAAAGCATCTCAAACATCGCGGCTCAGCAAACGCTTGTATCAAAAAGGGAAGTGGAGCAGCAGCCCCCGAGGCCTTTTATGCACCTGGATTTCAGTCCTTGCCCTGGTGAGCTGAATACATAAGCACGGTTAGGAAGAGGTCCTGCCCTGGGCTGTGTTTGCTGAGACTAATTCCGCTCTCTCCGTTGCAAATGCCGGGTCTGGTATGCAGGGCTCAGGGCTGTGTTTTTCTGATCTGCTTCACATTGGTGGATCATCCCGCAGTAACCAAACACACCCAGGGCACCCTGCCTTTCCTTCCTCCCCAGGGTCGGCTGCATCCTGATCCTAAGAGCCAAGGACATAATTTTGCATCTCCCTTGGTTTTTTAGCTGTTCGGAGAAGTGTGTAATAAAATCTGTCTCGAGACTTGTCTTGAGGGACTCCAGCTCCCTGCAGCCTGGCCCAGCATCCCCCTCTCGGGTTGTTCCCCATCACTCAGGTCTCACGCTCCATGTCTTTGCTTCCAGACTCTCCCCAGAGCAAACATTTTGCTGATGCTGGGGAGATCAGACCTGCCTTTCTGTATGCTCCCTCTCCTGTTGTCCAGAGCAGTGCACCCTGGCTGCGTGGCTCTCTGGAGGGCGTGAGCCTTGCCCTGCCTGTGCTCGGGGGCCTTGGGTGCCCCTGGGCACTGCTTCACGGCAGCCTGGTCTGGGGACACCAGGTTTTGTCCCTGTATGGTGCTGAGCCAGGTGCATAGTTCTTGGAGACACTTTATCCTGGAGCCCAGGGTGCCCTGGCCTGAGGCTGCTCCTGAGCATGAGAAAATAAAGTGTTTGAGGGGTGCTGTGTGTGTGCCCAGCTGGGGCTCACCCTGGGAACCCTTTGCCCATGGTGCCTGGGGCCATGTAACCACTGCTGCAGCTTTTCTGATCTCCTCTTTACAGGCTGCGAGCTGACTGCCAGTACCAAATCCTACACGTTTCAGGTGGACGAGGAAGATGACTCCGACCACATTTTGGCCCTGTCTGTGGTAAGAGAAATGAGAATTAACTGTGCTAGTCCTCTCCCATGGTGGTCCACAGCCTCACCCCCACTTCCCAGGCTCATTCCCCCTTCCCTGGCCGGGCTGGAACAGGGGACTCACTTGGCTGTGGTCTCGGCACTGGCTGCTCTCAGGGCAGGGCACGGGACTGTCATGTTTATGGAGGTGCTTGAGCAAAGCCAGTGGCATCAGGAGGCTGCTCAGCAGAGGAGTACTCCAGACATGGGGTGAAGGAAAGTATTTTTTCCTTCTATTTGACCTTGCTGGAGCCTCCCACTAGAACATGGCCCCCCTCACCAGCTGGGTCTCTGGCTTGTTGCTCTCCAAGCCCAGCTAGATGGCAGGGCTTCATTCCTGGTCTCCCTGGAAGATGCTTTCTGTCCTGGGAGCACAGAACCTGCCAGCGTGGGTCAGATCAGCAGAAAATGCAGCCCAGGCACCATCTCTTGAGGTGGTTGCAGGAACAGCTGTCCCAGCTGGGAAAGGCACAGAGCCCCTCCGGAGGTGGTCAGGGGGCAATTGCTGGGGGGGGGGGGGGCCGGGGG